GTGGTGCAGCTATACAATCCTAACTGCAGCTATAGATGTTACTCTTGCTCCAAATAAATAAAGCTCACGTTGCAGTTGCAATATAATCATGCTTGTGTCTGTTCTTGTGTTGGTCCTATTGTTGATGTTAAAGAGCAATCTGATATATTTTACAGAGAGAGGTATATGGCTCACCTTTTAGCACCAGGCTATAAAGATGTATTCTTGCCAAGTGTTTACGATGCTTTATTACTTACTAGATCCACATGTGATTTTAGAGATGGACGACTCATAACTTCTCCAAATTTTACACAGTATCTCGCTGAGATACCATTTAACGATAGTTATTTATTTGCTATCATGCATCTTATACCTGCAGACTATACAGAAAGATTAGAATCTTTGTCCTCATCGAGGGAAAGGCAAGCCTCTCCCCATACCAAGCACGATCTTATTCTACCCTTAGCTGCATTATTTCTACTAATCAAATCTTATGCTAGTATCCCAACTCTAGAAATAAGTCAACTATGCTACAAAGCTCTATTAAGAACAATAGCCCTTTCTACTACACAATGCCTTAGCACTTGGAGATGTCGTACTTTGTTTTCATTACAACCTGTTATAGTTCCAGTTGGTAGAATAGCTCTTGGTCGTATTTTAAATGTTGTCGGTTCTATAATTGATCCTCATGCCCAAATAAGTCATTCCTACCAATTTACTAGATGTGGACTCATAGATTACAAGTATAGTGGTAAGTATAACTCCACTAAAGCAAAGGCACATAGGCTATCTTTGATAGCCCGAGGTGTGCCCCGATTGGCTATGCTATTTACATCCCATTCAGGATTCATCCCACAGGCATTTAAGTCAGATCTAGCTTACTTAAAAGCACACTTTCCGAAGGCTCTGTGTGCTGCTAGCAGCACATGGATATCTATGATATCCCGAGGTGTGCCCCGATTGGTCTTGCCTCCTTATATATTTTACTTCTACTCTATGATAAGCCTAAACTTAAAAGGTACACATCTTATTCCTTATGCAAATAAGACTACATCAGATACACAATTCTCACAAGTAAAGCCTATTCATAAAACCCCGGATAAGTTAGTAAGACTTAGTACTGATCTAAGATTATTTGAAACAGGTATAAAGGTTGTAGACTTACTAACTCCATATGTACAAGGTGGGAAAATAGGTTTATTTGGAGGTGCAGGCCTTGGTAAGACAGTAGTTATAATGGAGTTAATAAGAAATCTAGCAATAGAGCATGGGGGTCTTTCTATATTTGCTGGTGTTGGTGAAAGAACTCGTGAAGGAAATGATTTATATTATGAAATGCAGGACTCAGGTATTATAGCTCCTTATGCTAATCCTTCCGATTCCATACATATAAGCCAATCGGGGCTCATCTCTCCAGCAAAGGAAGTTTGCACGATAGCCCTTAATGAGAATTCTCTAGTTGCCTTAGTCTTTGGGCAAATGAATGAAACACCTGGAGCAAGAATGAGGGTATGTCATGTTGCATTAGCAATGGCTGAATATTTTAGAGATCTTTCACATCAAGATGTACTTATCTTTATTGATAATGTTTTCAGATTCCTACAAGCTGGTTCAGAAGTAAGTACCTTATTAGGAAGAATGCCCTCAGCAGTTGGATATCAACCAACTCTTTGTACAGAGATGGGGTCTATCCAAGAAAGAATAGTTGCTACTAAGCTAGGATCAATAACTTCTATTCAAGCTGTCTTTATACCTGCAGATGACTTAACAGATCCAGCACCTGCAGTAATCTTCGGCCATTTGGATGCTATAACAGTACTATCTCGAGCTTTAGCAGCTAAAGCTATATACCCTGCTGTAGATCCATTTAATTCCACATCTAAAATGCTTTCACCTTCCCACATCTCACAAGAACATTTGCTAGTAGCAACTTCAGTAAAACAAATCTTACAGCGATATAAAGAACTGCAAGATGTAATTGCTATTCTAGGATTAGAAGAATTGTCCGATCAAGATAGAGTTATAGTTAATAGAGCAAGAAAGATTGAGCGATTCCTCTCCCAAGCATTCTTTGTTGCAGAGATATTTACAAGAATTCAAGGTGCTTATGTCTCTCTAGATGAAACAATATACGGCTTTAGTCAAATTGTTAATGGTCTTTATGATGATTGGTCCGAAGGTTCATTTTATTTAAAAGGTACGATCTTTAGCTAAGGTTTTGGTTGTGGACAGGTCTAATTATTAATAAATTTATACG